GCTGCTTTTTAAACCACACCGAATCCAGCATGTTGCTGAACTCAGGGAGACCCGAGTTCAAATTCTTGCTCCACCATGCATTTTCTGGTTAGTCTTTGGGGAAGAGGTTTTGTCTCAAATGGGAAAAGCTGGCGACCTAACAAATAACAGCCTGAGAAAGTGCGTCAGAATTGATGGCTCATGGGGCTGATATTTAATTCCGGCAGAATTAGCAAAGAGTGTCCTTTGACATCAACTCCGTTTCTCTCCTCTGCCCAAAGGACACCGTTCTTGATATGCTGAGGGATGCCATGGTGGCCAAGGCAGATGTTTCCAAGGGTTACTTGATTGATGGCTATCCCCGGGAGGTGAAGCAAGGCGAGGAATTCGAGAAGAAGGTAAGACAATGGTGCATACTGCAACTCCCTCGGGCACTTTCAAATCAGAAAAAAATGGTAGAGGTAGGCTTAAACCCCCACTCCACTTGCCCCACAGGCCTGAGCCAAACTGAGGCCCTCCTGATCTGCACTGAGGGGGGGGGGAACTGCTGGGGACTCCAGTCATAGCACTCTCTGCTGCTGCCAGAGTTTAAATATGCAAAGGAAGTGGAGCACTGACTGTTTAGAGAAAAATAAGTAGGGCCCCTGCCACACGGGCCAGATAATGCGTGGGGGGCGTGGGGCGTGGCTGTTTGCCCTGGAGCAAAATAAAGTGCGGTAGCCCGATCACACGGTTCCCCGAGTCTCTGCACATAGGCTGTTAGCTGGCGATCACACGGCGATACTGGAGCGTGGCAAAGAAGCGGCGCGGCAAGCGTTTGGCGTTTGTGCGCATGCACATTTCCACGGAGCAGCACTGCTTTCAGTTACGTGTTTGTGCGCATGCGCTTACGAAAAACATCTGGTTTGCAACGGGATCGGGACAGGCACCGGATGCCACGGGATACTAGTGCTCCTGCGATCAAACGCCCGCCCCTGCCCCGTGTTTTCTGGATACTAGTGCACTTTCCGCAGTACTTTTTAACTCTGCATCTTCGGCGGGACGCCACAGGTTGGCCACGGGTGCGCTACACTTCCCAGATGTTGCAGTTGTCATGCCTGCCCCCGACCTGGTGCCTAGGAGCTCTGAAACTGAGGACTCCGTGCCTTTAACACCGGACTTGGCAACCAGACGCAAAGAGACACGCTTGCGCGGTTGGAGATCAATAAGCCCGGAGTTCTAGCGGGATCAAGGACTTTGCGAGGCAGTGTTAATGAGGCACTAATGAGTTAACCCAGCGAGCTATTTGAATAGGTCACTGACTGCTGGCTAATCGTGCTGGCAAACTCATCCTTCGGACCAGAAGCTCTGCACCTCTGACGCTGTTCCTGGTATCCGGCTATTGACTGATTTCCTGGCTCCTGACTCCAGTCCGCGTGTTGACGACTCCCTGGCTCCTGATCCTCGGCTCTGCACCCTGACTTTGACGCTTGCTTATCTGGACTCTGACTCTCGGTAACGATTGGACTATGGCCTGGCTTTATGTATTGGGACTGTTGCTCTGGTTATTTTGCTCTCTCTCTGGCTTGACTCTCGGACTGGACTGTGAACTCCCCCTCTCTGCCTTGCCCCACTGGCCCTGTCGTGACAGCGGTGTGATCGTGCCCCGAAAATCCGCCTGACACTCGTGCCTTTAGCGCGGCAAATCCTCTGTGTGACCGGGCCTGGGTTTATTAAAGAAGAAGTTCTTATAGAACGTAGAAGGGAGAGAACCTTAACTATCTAACCTAACTGCTGACGGAGGAACACCAACAAGAAGGAAGCTCTGCAGGAGCAGGAAGTCTCCAGAAGAGCCAATCAGGAGGCAGCAAGGACATAATTTGAAATTCTGGGCAGTCCCTAATCCGGCTGTGCTAACTACCAGTCCTTCAGCTGTCCATCTGTAGGGTGATCTTCAGATCTTCTTCATGAGGCTGCACTACAGACCTTGCATATTCCAGCACCTGCATCATGCCTTTTTACGGCAGTAAATATCTCAATGGGTAGATGAAGGCCTAGGTCACTTGCAAGATTTTGCTGTATCCGGGGTTTGTTTTTTTTCCCCCCCCCCCCCGTTGCTCTGCCTCTAATCTCAAGGACTAGAAATTTGCCAAATTGGCTGATGAAGAATAGATAGCCCCAGTCTTAACAGGTTTGGGGAGGCTAGCAGTGTTAGACCCTCTCGTTCTCAAGAACAGAAAGAAAGGTAATAGAAACATGACAGATCTTCTCTCTCTCCCCTTTCTGTATTGTGCAGGGAAAACCACTATCCTGGATTCTGAAGTCCAGATAAAGTCTAGCAAGGGAGGGAGCTTCCTTTTTCAAGATTCAAGTGCAACACACACACCTTCCCGAATTTCTCACCATGGTCTAAAAGGCAGGGCATAAAACACCAGTCCCGAAAACGTAGGATCTTTAAATGCTGAAACCAAAGTTTCACAAGCCTCATGCCTCCGTGCAGAATGTCCTGGGTTCAGTCCCTTGCATTTCCAGGTAAAGGATCTCAGGTAGAGGTTGAGAGCCAGCTGTGGTGTGGTGGTTAAGAGCGGCGGACTCTAATCTGAAGAACTGGGTTTGATTCCCCACTCCTCCGCAGGAAGCCAGCTGGGTGACCTTGGGTCAGTCACAGTTCTCTCAGAGCTGTTCTCTCAGCCCCACCTACCTCACAGGGTGTCTGTTGTGGGGAGGGGAAGGCGACTGTAAGCTGCTCTGAGACTCTTTCGGGTAGTGAAGGGTGGGGAATAAAACCAACTCTTCTTCTTCTAAAAGGTGCTTGGGGGAAAACTCCAGACTACAAAGATTGCTTATTTGTTTAAGTAGGAAAGAGCAAGAGTACAGTAGCACCTTAAAGACTGCAAAGTGCATACAATTAAGAATAATAGACAATAATTAAACAATAGTACTGATGAGCTTCATGATGTTTTAATCTTTGTTTTTCAACAATAAGGCGCCACCAAACAGAAGATGATGACGTCAAGATGAACGGACGAACCTCCCGAGTTACCGTTCGTTTCGAAGTTTCTTTATCAAACAGGTCTCAGTTCAGCGTTCTTGTGCATTAAAGTCAACCACAAGGGTGTTCTTAAATTCAGATAACTTCTTCCACAGCTCTTTACTAACAGTTACACCTTTCAATCGGACAAAAAGGTGTAACTGTTAGCAAAGAGCTGTGGAAGAAGTTATCTGAATTTAAGAACACCCTTGTGGTTGACTTTAATGCACAAGAACGCTGAACTGAGACCTGTTTGATAAAGAAACTTCGAAACGAACGGTAACTCGGGAGGTTCGTCCGTTCATCTTGACGTCATCATCTTCTGTTTGGTGGCGCCTTATTGTTGAAAAACAAAGATTAAAACATCATGAAGCTCATCAGTACTATTGTTTAATTATTGTCTATTATTCTTAATTGTATGCACTTTGCAGCAATCCATTGTGTTTAGGTGTCATTTCATTGCTGCTCCCTTTGTTGGTATATGATTGCACCTTAAAGACTGACAAAATATGTGGCAGGGGATGAGCTTTCGCACTACCGGACTCTGTTTGTTCAGTCTCCCTGAGTGTCGTCAGCAGCCTTCTGATTTAAACGCGGTCTTTTGAACCTGTAATGATTTGAAGCAGCACAAGATGGCAGCGTGGAACCTCCCGGTGGTCCTTGACCTGCTGGGAGAACAATTATGCATTAAAAAAAACCCAACCCCAAACACTGCTAAAAGCCTGGTCTGATGAGAACAGAACGACCAGGCATGGAGAAACCTGAAAATTATAACCCTCGTACGTGCTGTACTCAGGCGAGCCGGTTGATCACATCGCAATTACATGCCGGGTGATTTCAGTCCGAGCCCACTGATTTTCAGCATGCTTAGTCTGGCGTTATTTTGGATTGGATTGCACCGTTTGACAGTTACTTGGAAAGGGGCACAAAAAACAATAGCGTCCGAGAGCCACCTCCCTCCTCCTGCAGCTCAGAGACTAATACAAAGCAGAGCTTCTTCGCTTTGGCCGGATGTGAGGTTTCATGCCTGCTCTTTTAATGCTTTTTAAGATGCTGGTATCAATTATGTATTGCATAAGATACTTTTATTGTGTTGACTCCCAAGTCATAGCAAACAGCCAACACAGAACTGCATAACATTTGTTCACCTTCGAGCTTATTTGGGAAAAGCGGTCTACAAATGCATGAAATATATTAATATGAGAAAGAAATAGCGATACTTGATCACCTTTTATATTTAATGGGAAATGGGTTGTACAAGTGGGGAGCCTCCGCAGAACCCTGGGGGGGGGGGTACACCATTAGTAATCTCCCCTTCCCTGCATGAAGCGATAAAAAGAGATTGCTTTTATTTATTAATTAATTTAACTTCCTTTATACCAAACCTTTCTCCCCAATGGAGAGGAGAGGAGATTGGATTTATACCCTGCCCTTCACTACCTGGAGGAGTCTCAGAACGGCTTACAATCTCCTTTG